GTGTAAACAAGGTTGTGCGACAAAGGCACAATTGAGCACACACATGAGCAAACACACAGGGCAGAAGCCATTTTGTTGTGATGTATGTGGGAGAAGATTTGCTACAAATGACTATTTAAACAGACACATGCGAGTCCACTTAGCACAGAAGCCATATTGTTGTGATTTGTGTGGGAAAAGGTTTTCCACATATAAAAGAAAAAAGACACATATGTTAATCCACACAGGACAGAAGCCATTTTCTTGTGATCATTGTGAGCGAACGTTTACTACAAAGAGTAATTTGACCATACACATGTTAATCCACACAGGCCAGAAGCCATTTTCTTGTGATCATTGTGAGCGTAGTTTTATTACAAAGAGCAGGTTAAACACACACATGAGAATCCACAGCGGACAGAAGCCATATTTTTGTGATCTGTGTGAAAAAAGGTTTACCGAAAAGGGCAGTTTACACCGACACATGAGAATTCACACAGGACAAAGGCCATTTTGTTGTGGTCTTTGTGGGCAATGTTTTCGCCAAAATGGACATTTAAACAAACACATGAGAGTCCACACGGGGCAGAAGCCATTTTCTTGTGAACTGTGTGAACAAATGTTTACCACAATAGGAATGTTCAACACACACATGAGCAAACACAAAGGATAGACACTATTTTGTTGTGATCTTTGTGGGAATAAAGGTTTACCACAATGGGCAGGTTAAACAGAGATATGAGAGTCCACACAGGACAGAAACCGTTTTCTTGTCATTTATGTGAACGAAGGTTTACCACAGACACATTTAAACACACGAGCAAACACACAGGACAGAGGCCATTTTGTTGTAATCTGTGTGAAAAACAGTTTGACTCAAAGAGCGGTTTAAATACACGAGAATCCACACAGGACAGAAACCATTTTGTTTGTGGGCTAAAGTTTAACCAAAATAGAAATTTATTCAAACGCACGAGGGTCCACACAAAAAAAAAAAAATCTGCAGGACAGTGGCTTCTAAATGAGAAGTCATACCACAGGTAAAATCTCTTACACTGTATATGTATATCTCACATACATTTTGCTTGCTCAGGATGAGAGTGTGACACAAACTCAAAGCAGTCTGCTCCTCAGATAAATAATGTTAACTTGCTTTTTATAAATATGAATGTTTCTGTTCAGTGCCCTGAGATGACTTCTGTTTTGACTTGGTGCTATATAAATAAACTGAAGTGAATTGAATTGAATACATTTTAAATGAACTACAATTACTTTAAACCAGGGGTTCTCAAACTTTTTGGATTCAGGGACCCCTTATGTTTATTAAATAGTTTTCTTCAATTTGTCTCTTTGATGCAATGGAAATATTTAACATAAATACTTAAGACCTGTTCTTTGGTGTTAAAACAATTTTTATACTTTTAAACATGGGCTATTTTTCATTCAATACACGATTAACAAAATTTTTAATTTCAACTTCCAAAAATTACAGTTTTGAGAAAATTAACAGTATCAAAAACCACATTAAAACTTTACCTATTCACATAATGAACGTAAATGTATCGCCATTTCTTTAAATTATTACAGAAAACAAAAAAACTGAGCAGAATCATAACAGCAGTAGTTTTTTTTTGTGGGGGGGACCCCAAGCACCAGCCCATGGAACCCTGTGGGGGACCCCAGTTTGAGAACCACTACTTTAAAAAATGTGGGAAACCCAAGACAGTTTAAAGGCAATGCCAACAAATGCTAATAAAATGTATATAAATGTGGTGACTTGGAACAAAAATGTATTTAAAACTGTCTCTGTTCATTTTACTATAATTCTATTTTACTTTGAGATCTGTTCTCGTCATGTGGATGAGAGACGATCTTTTTCGCCTGAACATTGGGAGAATTTGCAGCACACGTCATGCACAAACAGCAACAATAACAGCACCACTGGTGTTACATCATATTCTGATTTTAGCCGAAAACACTACACCAAGTCATATTTAATTTCATTAATTAGGAACTTAATTTTTTCAACATTTTGTAGCTACTGCCCCCTTATGGTTTGGTATACTCACTGGAAATTTAAAAACTCTTCCTTTTTGATATTAATCACCATGACATGACTGGAAGAAGTGAAAACTCCTCATGTTTATTTATGTGCATTTTGTTTTGAGAAAAGCAAGAAATTAAATTCAACCTTTATTTATACAGGTTAGTCTCATTGAGCCTCGAGGACTCATTTACAAGAGAGACCTGTTTTAAACAAAACACAGATGACAACAGTAGACAATCATTAAAAAGCATATAAAAATGAAAAGTAAATGGAAAAAATTATATCAAAACAAAAACAGCTACATTATACAGCGATACAAAATACTAAAAACAGGAAGTCAGAGTTTCTTTATTGTCATTCGCACCTCATGTGGTACATGTGCAGCCTTCACCGCTCTCTGCAAAGCTTTTCTTTCTGCAGCTGTGCAGCCTCCATGCCACACATTGATGCTCGAGCACAGGATGCTCTCCACTGCACACCTGTAGAAGGAGGTGAGGACTCAGCTTCCCAGACCAGCTCGTCTCAGCCGTCTGAGGAAGTAGAGTCTCTGATGAGCTTTCTTGATCAGACTGGTGGTGTTGTTGCTCCAGCTGAGGTTGTCATTCATGTGTACACCCAAGCACTTGTAGCTGGAGACCACTTCCACCACAGATCCTCTAATGTTCAGGGGGGCGCAGGTGTTTTTGTTCCTTCTGAAGTCCACAATCATCTCCTTTGTCTTCTTCACATTGATGTGAAGGCCATTCTCTTTGCACCAGGCCTCCAGGTGTTCTACCTCCTACCTGCAGCTGGACCCACCACTGTCCGTGATGCATCCCACCACCGCTGCACCATCTGCAAACCCCACAATGTGACAGCCTGGATGGGCAGCTGCACAATCATACCTGAGCAGAGCAAACAGGAGGGGGCTCAACACACATCCCCGAGGAGAACCAGTGCTGAGGGCCACGGTGGAGGAGGAGAAGCCGCGGATCCCCACCGACTGCGGTCTGCTTGCCAAGAAGTCCAGTACCCAGCCGCAAATGGAGGGAAACACCAAAACACATTACGGCAAAGACTGGTTCATCCCAAAGCTCCAGTCTCCGGCACAAACAGAGCAATGTTGTGTATGCTGTTCAGTGTCAGGAGGGGGATCAGTCTTACATCGGGGAAACTAAACAGCCACTGGCCAAAAGGATGGACCAACACAGAAGATCAACATCATCAGGCCAGGACTCTGCGGTCTACACTCATCTCCAGGCCAGTGGTCACTCTTTCAGGGATGAAGATGTTCACATCCTGGATAGAGAGGAACGATGGTTTGAGAGAGGAGTAAAGGAGGCCATCTTTGTGAAAAGAAACCGTCCATCATTAAACAGGGGTGGAGGCCTCCGGGTTCAATTGTCCCCCTCTTACAATGCTGTGATTGCTAGTATCACTCAGCCCTCTGTGAACAGTAAACAGCCATCAGTGTGTTAATGATCCATTGTTAGGCTGATGGTCCTTCTTGAGCATGTGATCAGCTGGTTTTGGTTGTCAGCAGCAAAACTGATTGATCCACTCTGAGAAGGTGCTATTTAAGAGACTGAGCTGAATACAGCTCCTCAGACTGAGGAAGTCTCTCGGACGAAACTTTTCTACAAATGTTTTATTATTATTATTATTAATGTCCAGAGGACCAGATTGAACTTTTTTGGATGTTGATACTTTGTTGAAATAGCACAAACATTGTGGAACGAGAAAGAAACACACGGGATAATTTACAAGCGGAAATAGAATCACAATAGTGTGATTGCCTAACAATCATTCACACTATATTAAGATGTTTACCAGATTTATCAATGGTTTCCTGCCAGTCGCGAGTCATGACGTCACTTCCTGCTCCTCAAATCACCACCTCTCCGAACATGTTCGACGTTTGTTGACGCAGCTCTCAAAGCGTTATTACGGCTAAAATACGTGGACGTGTGTCAGTAAATCGGTAAATAAAAAAAGCGTAGTAACCTTTTACAAAGTGAGGTTCAGGCCCGGAGCGTGTTTTTGTGTAAACGTCGTTGTTGGCGCAGACTGACCCGGGGGGGGGACGCACCTGCTCCAGGAAGAGAGGAAGCTGCTCCCCGTGCTTTGAACCGAGAGGTAACAAAAACGCCTTCCTGCTCTCTGTTTTTCCTTGCTGCTCTCTACTATTTATAGTTGCTGCTGTGCATTATGTAAGCTCGTGCGTTGCGTTCATGTTTCATGCGTGCGGTATTAACCTAGTTTTTCTGCGGTTTCGGGGGTTATATAAGTTATTGTGTCTGTGTGCGATGCACCTGGAGAATACATCCAGCTGTGCACTGAACAGAGAGCATCCTCTCTCTCTCTCCTCTTTCTGTCCCTCCCTCTCTGCAGTGTGTGAGGCTGTTGCAGCTGGGTGATAGGACCGAGTGGGAGGAACAGCTTCCCCTTGCTTTTACTCAGAAAAAAAAACATAATGACAAGACCTCCTCTTGAAGCTGCTGCAGCAGTGGTGGATTTGGCTCCAAGTTTCCTGCATTGCACAATCTTTCCTGTATGCTCGGAGAGATAAAGAAGAAGAAAACCATCGAGAAAGAGCAAAAGAGAGGAGAGGGCTCAGAAGACGCTGTTGAAGATAAAGTATCCGAGAAAATATCGAGAGCTCGAGTGGGAAGCAGGGAACTCAGGATGGAGCGAAGAACACTGCAGCACAATGAGGGTTAAAGAGGAGGAAGGATCCGAAGAGCAGCCTTTCGCACCCCACTCGGTTCTCTGAAGAAGCAAGAAAAGGCATCCACCGTGGAGGCGAGAAGGAGAAGGAGGAGGGGGGCTGAGGAGGAGGAAGCCAGAGGTTCTACACACAAGATGGCTGCTGTGTCCTCTGCCTCTGACTCCGGTAAGTTGGCTCAGACTCCGCATCATCACCATCCCTTTAATCACTTTGCACAGGGTGAGCTCTCTGCACCGGTTCCTTTTTCTTTTTTTGGTCTCCACTAAAGGTGAGGAACTGTTGCTCTTTTAGAGATCAGCATGGCACACAGAAAGTCTGATCAGCAGCAGTCAGAAGCCAAGAGGAATCAATAAACTTTTCTCCTCCTCATCCTCATGGTGCATCCAGCACATCTCCTGCCAAACAGCCGGTCCTGCCGGTTTTTGAAAACGTCTCCTACGATAACTTACGTTTCTGATTCCGTATGTGCAGTTCTCTCAGTGTCATTCCTCCTGACTCTGTTTAGGTTTACGAACAATTTTAGGAAATCACCTAGCGTGTTTAGAGAAGACAGACGGATGACGATGAGAATGGAAGAGAAGGTAGCACGAGATAACAAGGACTTTATTCAAAAGCAGACGTTTGAGAAGTAGGGGCAAAATGAGAGGTGTGGAGAAGGTTCAGCTGTATGTAGGAACAATGAAAGTTTTCTTAAAGCGCTACAAGATAATTTACAGTCCGAATAAGTAAAACAATGAATCATTTTTGAGGATATTCACTGCGTGTCATGTACTGGATCAGGGTTTCTTGCCTTCAAACGGGGTTTTCAGCTCCACATTCATGAAGAGAGTCAGTTCAATTTTCACTTCAGTTTACCGGTATATTACGTCATACTGTATTTATATAGCACCAAGTCACAACAGAAGTCATCTCAGGGCACTGAACAGAAACATTCATATTTATAAAATAATAATTTAACGTTATTTATCTGAGGAGCACGGGAGAAGGAAGAAAAGCATCCGTCTTGCACGAGAGCGAGTGGTGAAAAACACAGGGAGCCAATGGGAGAAGCTAAAACTGGAGCGATATGATCTCTCCCACTAACTCCAGTTAAGACTCTGGCAGGCAGCAGCATTTTGGATCAACATAAAATGTTTTAAAGAAGTATTTGGACACCCAGATAATAAACCATTGCAATAGTCCAGTCTAGACGTGACAAATTCATGAACCAGTTTTTCTGCATCATTTTTAGATAAGATGTTTCTAATTTTAGTGATATTACGCAGATGGAAGAAGGAAGTTCTAGTAACGTTTTTAATGTGGGGGATAAATAAATAACGCCAAAATTTTTAACGTTAGAGCTGGAGGCCAGATTAATGTCATCCAAGGAGGGCGAAAAACTGAAAATTTTATTCCCAAGATGCTCGGGTCCAAAAACCAAAACCTCAGTCTTGTCTGTGTTCAAAAGGAGGAAATTAAGGGTCATCCAGGTTTTGGATTCATTGGGTTTAATGGACAAACATAACTGTGTATCATCAGCATAACAATGAAAATGTATCCCATGCTGTTTAATAACTTTACCTAATGGAAGCATATATAAAGTAAAGAGTATTGATCCAAACACTGAACTCTGAGGAGCTCCATGACTAACTTTGGTGTATAAAGAAAATTCATTATTTACTTTTACAAATTGAAATATATCAGATAAATATGATTTAAACCAATTTAGAGCCGTTTGTGTAATCCCAATATCCAGTCCAGCCTGATGTGGGATTCCTGACCTCAGGTGTCAAATTTTCTTGACTCTCCTGACAAAAGTCCTGTAGCTTCTCATTTTCCTTTAGAAGACCAAATCTTACTTTGCAGACGAGCTTTCGTTTGATCATTGTGTTTGACAACAGGAGAACCTCGAGGACGCCATCCTCCTGAGCGTCGACTGCTCATCCTCGGGGGACCACAGTCAGGCAAGACCTCCTCTGCCAACACCATCCTGGGGGACGAGTTCTTCGATGCTGGGACGGAGACCACACACAGCAACGTGGGCCAAACGGAGATCTTCGGCCGGCGCGTGACGGTGGTCGACACTCCGTCGTGGGCCATCCCCGCTGACTCCGAGGACGACGAAGAAGCTGACACTGACAACAATGCTGGCGCAGAGTCAGGAAGCCCAGCACGGCCTCCGCCAAGCCTGGACAGCGAGGGGCCATGCATGGGGGCCATCCTCTGCCCTCCTGGACCCCACGCCATCCTGCTAGTGGTGTCAGTCACCCGACCCTTCACCGACACAGATAGGAGGGCTGCAGAGGAGCAGCTGTCAGCTTTGGGTGGGGGGACCTGGAGGTACTGCATGGTCCTCTTCACTGGAATGGACAAGCTGCCCAAAGGTGTATTTATAGAGGCGCACATCGCCGACACGGGAGACTCCCTGCAGTGGCTGGTGGAGAGGTGTGGGAGCAGGTACGGTGTTTGATCTCTTTTTATATTATTTTTGTCCGCTCTTCAAAGAGAAAAATAACCTGCACAGGTGGGGTCAAAGGTCATCAGTGAACCTCTGTGACTATGGCTATACCCAGATATAAGGCCCAATGAGAGCAGAGACCAAGACTCGGAGTCAGTTTACAGTTTATTTACAAGGTGAGATATGATGCAATAAGCCAGGGAGGGGACGGGAACCCTGAGGAGCAAAGACGTGGTTAGAGTCCTTCTCGTAAAGGGTGATAATGATATTGCGGTTCTTCCTTACAATGGAGGTCAGACATGGGGAGGGGTGACCCAAATAGTTCCAGATGAAGGAGGTGCAGGTGCAAGGCAAGTGGTATGAAGGTGTGGAGGCAGCTGACGAGGCACAGAGGAGGATTCAGGAAACAGGAGAGCATCAAACGAACTCACTGGAGGCATGTAGAAAAACACAAATCATTAATGTTTAGTTTGAAACGTTTAGAAGGTTAGAACAAGACTACTGTCGGCAGGTAATGCTCCAGCGCTGGCTGGATGTCTTCTGAGGCTTTTTCTGCTCCTCATGCTCGACGATCCACGGGTGTAGCTAGTTAGAGTCTGACTGTAGGTGCAGGAGGTGGCAGAGCAGAACTCCCACACTCTTGTTTGGAACAAAACATTGCAGCAGTTTAACAATAAACTTAAAGAGAAGCAAAATAACTTCTGGATGAAAGATTGCTTTCAGGTCTTTTGAAGTGCAGGTGTTTTTCTGCAAAATGTTTCTGTTACTATACTTTCCCCCGTACATGTCGCATCTGTCCAAAAATGTCTAATAAAGTGAGAAAAAAAAAAGTCACTTCGCCAAATAAGTTGCATCTGTTACGCGTCACCGCTGACCACCTGGAAATGTGGGCCGGTGTTGTGCCAAAAATCGGTTGGCTGCCAAATGGCGGCTGCGGGAGCGTGCACGGGAGGACTTTTAACAAGTTTAACAATTAAAATCAATTATTTGTTTGCTTGAAAGTATAGCAAAGATGTGTCTCAGTGTAACTTTTCTTTAATAAATGAACTTGAATGGTCAAATCAGCTGCATTTCGTCTGGACGACGTGACATGCAGCTGATTTGACGTTTGCTCCAGGAGTTCCTGAGCGAGACAAAGGTGACTTGGTATGGCAAGCCAAGTGTCTCATTAATAGTTACTTTTACCTATTAATGAGACATTTGACTTGCCATATTACTCAAGGGCCCTCTAGCAGCTGAAAATGGTAGTGTTCAATATTTTCCATGTCAGAATGAATGAAATCGTCAGATCTCAGCCAACAATTTGGTTATAAATATGGGAAAAACATATTAGATACTTCGGTGTATAAGTTGCAGGACTTGCAAATTTATGCATAAAGGTGCGACTTATATGACGAAATATACGGTAAGCCTCATGAGTCTAGAAAGTGCTTTGTAGAATCTGACACTACACTTTGTGATTCTTTTGAGCCTTAGTTGATTTTATTTCTTATTTCCGTTATCTGACAACCACAACCGTGCAAACTCGAGATAAAAGTGAAAAGTCGTCGTGGCTCGCTCCAGTTCGCCGTGCACGTTTAGGTGACATTAGGCTCTGTCATGTCAGCAGCCAGCATCTTCATATTTAAGTTGAGTATTTGTCTGGCAAGCGATCAAATTTTGACAAAACCATTTATGGAACATAAAAAAAAAAAAAAATGCAAACTACCCACAAGCCAGGCACAGACTCTGAACAGTGCAGGTTTTGTGAAATGGATTCTGGTTGTATAAAGTACAAAGAAAACCCAATATTGAAATACTATGTCAAGGGTAAAATCCATGATTTGAGTAGCTCTGTATTTTCCAATTTGTGCTCTCATCAGAGTAGAAGATATTCAGACGACGTTCAAGGCTGACAGCCTGAATTCTCAGGTCTGACCGTGCCGATGGTCTCGTTTCTGTGGAGGAGAAAACATTACTCATCAGCATGGGAGGACGAGGGTGGAGGTTGTTTTTGTGCAGAACCTCACCCACACACGCTACTTCCTGTCTCATGCAGCAGGCCAGCCATGATGAGAACAAGCGCTTCTTGCTGAGGGTCTTAAAGGTGACTGAAGGATGAGCGCTCGGTGCCGCAGTGAGAGCTGTGTAACGTAACTAACCTCGAGCGCTGCGGGCATGGACGGGTGAGATGGGGTTGTAGCTTCGACATGAAGCTACGCTGATTGTTTCTGCTTCGGCTTACAGTTAACAAAGCTGGTGCACGTGAGCCTCACGTCATGGACATGAGTCTCCACCTCGCTACAGACGTTTTGTGCATGCTCAGAACCCGTAGTGACGCTGTCGCACTGGATCACGTGGAGCCAACTGTGCTCATAACAAACGCCTGAAGACTCGGACATGACCCTTCTAAGACCGCCTGGTGGATTTATGACGTCGCAGCGGGTCCTGATCCACTGTGACGGGACCTGCACTGTAAAAACTGCTGTTTGTACCCACTTCATTTCTAGCCCTAAATTCAAACCGGTTTAATGTTTTATACGTTCAGCGTCTCAAATTCACGAGTAGTTTCGTACGAACACGTAGGGTTGACTCGACAAAACAAATGTCTGGGATTTAAACTATAAAATCAAAGTAAAGTAAATATTTTTAGTGCCTATTTGCATGTTGAATTTTCTTTTAGTATTTTTCCTACAACTCAAGCTTCTCCGTTTTGTTCCTTTTACCATGGGACCACTTAAACCTTCTTGCTTTGCATCCTGTTAAAGTTTGGACGTTTAGAAGTGGGGGCTCTGTGGAACAATTCACAACAGATAACATCTTACCTGTTGTAGATAGCTAACCTAACCGAACAGATGAGCTAACGACTAGTCCTAACCAAGCGAGCCCACATGGATTGCTGCCATCTTGAAACAAGCCTCAAAACTTTGATGTTTATATGTGCAACTATTTAAACTTTTGCACTATTATTTTTGCATTAAGCTGAAATGTGAAATTCCTGTAAAAATGGTCCCAAGCTGCGCCGAAAGTGCTACAGCTAACTGCTGCTGCTGCTAGTTAAGCCTGCAGCTAATCACAGACTTATATGTAGCTATCTGCTCAATGTGAAATTGACAACAGTGTAAAGATTTTTTGGGAACTCAATGGTGTTGCTTTAAGATGGCAGCGACCCACTTTGGTTTTCAGAGCGCAATCTACAGCAGGTAAGATATTAATTGATCATAACTGTACCTCAAAACCCCACTTCCAGTGATCTGAACTATCTCACCATCAAAATGACGGAGGCTGAGAGAAGCAGGCCTTTTAATTTCTGATGTGCTTCAAGGCTCAAACAACACGATTCAGCGTTTTAAATCGAACTTCTTTCTGATCACAAACGCTGAGGAAACGTGGTCGACTTGAAACCGTGTACGATCGATGTTTTGTGCATTTTTAGCAGCGTGGCTCTTAATTAAACGCTCCTTTTTCTTGCAGGTATCATGCCTTTGATAACACTCGAAAAGACGCAGAGGAAAACACCCAAGTACCCGAGCTGATGGAGAAGGTGGAGGAAATGATCACCGACAACCAGGGTTTGGCAGCTCTTCTTCTTGCGTGTATTTTGCAGACGTGACGGGCTTGTTGAATTTGCGCTGTTGTAAAAGCAACGCCGCATTTACACTTCTTCTGTGTTTTCTACGATTTTCAAAGCCCTGTTTGTGTTTCAGAGCCAGCTTGAAAGGAGGGAATAATTTATTTCTGCCTTCACGCAGGCTGGTACTTTGAGGTGAATGAATTGATTTTACTGGAGGAGGAGCAGGCCAGGAGAGCTCTGGAGGAAGAGAGGATGAGGATGGAGGAGCATGCCAGGCAGAGGGAGCAGATGATTGGAGGACCGCCTAGAGGTGCGAGGCAGTTTCCCATGTGTTTGTGTGCATTAGTGTGTGAAAGAGTGAGTCGTGCAGTAAAGGGGGGAGTTAAGTGTGCAGCTGCTGTAAAGTTGTTTGCAGGAAACCAAAAATACCACGAGACGCTCTGGTTGTGTGAGTGTTTATGAAGCATTCACTCCATTGTGGTCCATTTTTCTTCTGTATATCGTTCTCGTGCCACAGTTTTTGTGCTATTTCATCAAATCATAAATCAAAACGTTCAGCTCATTCAGGACAATCCTGCCACGACTTTTTGTATTGGTGCAACTTTAGCTTTTTGAAATATTTAGCCTTTTCTGCCATTTTTTTTTTCCTCATAGAAAATGAATTGAGCTCATTTTGCATCCTTCAAATCTTTAGATCTGTTTACAAGCTTTTGCTGCTCCTTTCACATTTTGTTCTGCTTCAGCTTCTTTCAGCTTCCTTGTGCAAATGTAAACCTTTTTCCAGCTACTTTCGGCTACTTTCAGCTTTTGTTCAGCTGTTTTGTGCACCTTTCAGATTTTTTCTGCTAACTACATAATTTGTGTGATTCTTCTAGCATCTTTCTGCTGATTTCAGCTTGTTCTGCTCCTTTCAGCTTATCTATGCAAGTTTCAGCTTTTTCTGCTATTTCAGTTACTATTTAGCTGTCTTGTGCTAATTTTAGCTTTTCAGCTAATTCCACATTTTTTGCACTAATTGCAACTTTACCTAATTCAGCAAAAATGTGCTCTCTCCGCTTCCTTCGGGTAATTTAAAATTCTTTCTGCCTTTTTAGCTACTTTTCAGCTTTTTTTCTCTAATTTCAGCTTTTTTTTAAAGATAATTTCCACTTTTTTGTGCTCATTTCTGCGTCTTTCAGCCTAATTTGGCCCACGTTCTTTCTGCTTTCTTAAGCTTGTTCTAACTTTTCAGCTACTTTGTTAGCATTTTTAGCTAATTTTGGCTGTTTTCATATAAATTCAATGTGTTTGTGATCATTTCTGCTACTTTCAGCCTAATTAACTTCTTTCTGACAATTTCAGCTTGTTATGCTCTGTATAGCTTAATTATGTTAGTTTCAACATTTCCCTGCTATTTCTGCTACAACTTAGCTGTTTTATGCTAATTGTAGCCTGCTTCCTTCTGGAAGTTCAAGCTTCTTCCTGCCTTTCAGCTATGGTACCTTTTAGCCATTTTTTGTTTATTTCAGCTTTTTTTTTTAACCTAATGTCCTAATTTTTGTGCTCATTTCTGCTTATTTAAACTTAATTCAGCAAATATGTGATCTGTTTTCTTCTGTTAATTTAGGCTTGTTCTTCCATTCCAGCATGTTTTTTTTTAGCTTTTTTCAGCTGTTTATCAGCAAGTTCTTCAGCATTAAGCATTCACACAGAATTTTCAGAGGAAATCAATTTGTCTAGTTGGTTCTAGTTGTGCTTGCTGTAGCTTTGATGCTGTTTATGTGATTTCATCACCTTGTTGTTGTTTGTCTTGTGTGCGTACAGAGTTAAGGTTGCTGTTACTGGGCTGGAAGGGCGTAGGGAAGAGCTCCGTGGGGAACACCATCCTGGGCCGTCGGTTTTTTGAGTCGGGTCAGGAGACGGAGCTGTGCCTCAGAAGGCAAGCGCTCGTGTGCGGCCGTCGCGTCACCGTCGTCGACACCCCAGGCTGGGACTGGTTCTCAGTAAGGCGGACCCCGAAGCGGATCCGACAGGAGACGCAGCGAGGGGCCGCCCTGCTGCGACCAGGACCCCACACCCTGCTGCTGGTCCTGCCCGTCGTCTCGTCGCTCACCGCCAGGAAGAGGAGGACGCTCCTGGCTCACATAGAGACTCTGTTTGGTGACAGCGCGTGCCTCCACACCATGGTGCTGTTCAGCTGCGGGGACTGGCTGGGACGCACCCCCATCGAGGAGCACATCCTGAGAGGGGGGCGGGAGCTGCAGAGACTGCTGGAGCACTGTGGGAACTATTACCACGTTCTGGACAGTAAGACGCCCGGGAAGGACAGGAGCGTGTCTCTTCTGCTGGATCGGATCGAAGAGATGATCAGGGAGAACGGCGACAGGGCCTTCCTCCCCATCCAGGACGAGTGGTGTAAGTCACTCTTCTCATTTTATTTCTGTTTTGTCTTGTTGCACACAAACCTGTTGTGGAAAAGGTGTGGGGAAAATTCAACAGTTTTTAAATTGACAGCGTTCTGTGAACAACAGCTGACCAGGACTTGACATTTAAACGTTTTGCCTACAATGAGAAAAAGAATTTTCCTACTTAATAATGAAGCGTTCCATTTTTCTTCCATTTCAACGTGATTCTCGTACCGCAGTTTTTAAGCTATTTTAACTAATCATAAGTCTAAACGTTCAGGAGAAGGGTGCTATGACTTTTGGTATTGTAACAACTTTAGCTTTTTGAAATATTTAGCCTTTTCTGCCATTTTATTCTCATAGAAAATGAATTGAGCTCATTTTACATCTTTCATATCTTTAGATCTGTTTACAACCTTTTACTGCTCCTTTCACATTTTGTTCTGCTTCAGCTTCTTTCAGCTTCCTTCTGCTAATTTAAACTTTTTTCAGCTACTGTCAGCTAATTTCTAATTTCAGCTGATTTTTTCAGCAGTTTCAAGCTTTTTTCAATTCCTTTCTGCTAACTAAAACATTTTGTTCTTCTTCTACTTGCTGCTAATTTCAGCGTATGTTCCTTTCAGTTTTTTTCAACTTTTAGCTTTTTCTGCTATTTCAGCTACTATTTAGCTGTTTTATGCTAATTTGAGGGGTTTTTTCGGTTAATTTCACATTTTTTGCACTCATTTCAACTTTTTTCAACCTAATTCAGCAAAAATGTGCTCTCTCCACTTCCTTCTGGTAATTTAAGCTTCTTTTTGAATTTTTGCTGCTTTTCAGCTGTTTTTTGCTAATTTCAGCTTTTTTCCAATAATTTCCACTTTTTCGTGCTCGTTTCTGCTTCTTTCAACCAAATTGGGTAAACATTTTCTTTCTGCTTTCTTCTGCTAATTTAAGCTTGTTTGACTTGTTCTGCTACCTTTTTAGCTTTTTTTGTTGTTGTTGCTAATTTCAGCTGTTTTCAGATGAATTCAAGATTTCCATGGTAATTTTGAAACTTTCAAACTCTTCTTATGGATTATGGAGCTTGTTTTGCTCCTTTCAGCTTTTTTCTGCTAATTTCAAATTTTTTGTGCTATTTCAGTAACTATTTAGCTGTTTTATGCTAAATTTAGGCTTTTCAGCTAATTCCACACTTTAAGCTCATTTCAGCTCTTTCCACTTCCTTCTAGTAGTTCAAGCTTCTTTACATATTTTAGCTACTTTTCAGCCCTTTTTAGCTAATTTCCTAATTTGTGTGCTCATTTCTGTTAATTTAAACTTAATTCAGCAAAAATGTGTTCTTTCTGCTCTCTTCTGCTAATTAAGGCTTGTTCTTTCATTTCAGCTACAAGTTAGCTTTTTTTTTTTTAGCTAATTTCAGCTGTTTTTCAGCAATAAGCATTCACACTGAATTTTTCCAGGACATGTAAATTTCTGTAGTTATTTTTGTTTTATTTTTTGTCACACATGTTTTGGATTATGAAACAAATGTTACTAAGGACAAAAATAACCTGAGTAAATACAAAATACAGTTTTTTAAATGATTTAATTTATTAAAATAAGAAAAGCTATCCAAACCAAAGTGACACTGAGTAAAAACATTATTTGCCGTCTTGTCAAATCATGAATTATCTGATTAGCCACACTTCTTAGAAATGTTCGTTCAGTTTTTCCAGCTCCAGACAAACATGGTTACTGCCACACCTTTAGAATCAAGAAGTCACTGGAACACATCCATTATCCACATATGGAGACAACACCGGACAGTGAACCTTCTCAGGAGTGACCAGTTGACCACGACTCCATGAGCGCATCGACAACTGATCCAGACGCCCCAAAAGATCCCAGAACAGTGTCTTAACCCCTGCAGGCCTCACTCACCCCAGTAAAGGTCAAAGTTTATGATTTGACAAAAAGAGACGGTAAAGGTGAAAACTGCTTCCATGGGAGAGCACCAATGCCAAAACCACTTCTCAAGACCTCTGGAAAAATGATCTGTGGGACAAAAGTGGAAGTTTCTCGATACGTGTGCGTCCTGTTACATCTGACTATCTGTATCAGAAAAAGAAAACGACAGTCAAACATGGAGGTGGTAGTGTGATGGTCTGGGGCTGCTTTTCTGCTTCAAGATCTGAACAATTTGCTGTAATCGATGGGATCCTGACATTTTTTTTTTTAGGGAAAATGTCCAAGTGTCAGTTTGAGGCTTTTGCTGAAGCTCACGTGGTTCTTCAGCAGAGCAGCGATCTGAAGCAGCAACGTGAAAGACTCCTCGACCGTTCATACAGACGCCTGGACAAGGGTGACACCGCCGCTCACTGGGTTTATTAAAGGAAGAATTACTCCTTCACACAGGTTCATTGGATAGGTTTTTTTGTCTTATTAGTTTAAATTAAATTAAATCCTCATACTAAAATGGTATTTTGGACTTATTCAGATTATCTTCATCTGATGTTACGTTTTTAACTGATTTATGTGACAAAAAAAAAGCAACAACAGAAGAATCCTGTGAGGGAGCAAGCCCTTTTCTCGCAGCACCGTAAATGAAAGTTAGAGTTTCACATGAAGAAATGTTGTGTTGCTGTTTTTAAATACGTGTTTTTTTATTTTTTTTGATTAACCTAATGCAACTTGAGCATTTCAGAAACGTTGAGGCTGGCTGACGCGTGCCTCTTATTACAGAACAACTTTCAGCTGACACTCTGAAACTGTTTCAGAGCTCAGAGAAAATGTGCTCCGGCGAGGTCTTGCTGAAATCAGCAAAACAAGCTTGGTTTAAAGAAAAGACACTGTCAGTGTTTGTGGCTCCAGAACTTGTTTTTGTCTTTCTGCATTAAAGAGATCTTTACAGGGGGTCTGTGGAAAACCTATAAACAAATATCCTACCTGCTGTAGGTAGCTTTTAGCCAACCTCTGTTTGGAGAAATAGCGTTACTTGTTACCACAACAAAAGTTAAACCAACTCCAATCTCAAAAAATATGAGCTCTGCTTTATAAAGCTTTATATTTCTGTCAGTTTCACATCACGTGGTTATTTATCTAAAACTTTATAGATATTTGCCATAATAATTAGCAGCAGCAGCAAGCAGTAGCACTCCTGGTGCAGCCTGGGCTACTTCCTGGAGGAATATTCTTATATTTTTGCTTGGATTATCATATAATGTAAGACTGTTGGTTAGGCCTGTCACGACAAACAGTAAATCAATTAATCACACGATAAATGAAAATTATCGACCTCATTTTCATTTATCGTCTTTATCGTTTCTTCGTGTCTCTCTTTCTACTGAAGACACTGGATGACAAAAAGCTCAACTCCGGTGCTCTTCACTGACCTCTCCCTTTCTCTTTTCTCTTTAAAATCCATTTTAACGATCCAAAATTGCATTTTTGGATCGTTAAAAGCAGCTAAGTTGAGAAGCGAGTTAAGCTAACAGGCCAACCTCAGAAAAAACCTCCGTCTTGTCCAAGCTCCAAAATTCACGGTTGAAACCCGTGCCTTCGTGTAAAAAGTTGTTTTTCTCTGCAAAAAAAAAGCTGAGAACTTGTTTACTGATTTTTTTTTATTTTTATTAAAAGCTTCGTTCAAAAAATGCTATGCTAAAGCGCTCAAACCACACCGAGTGTCCGCCATTTTGAGAATCGAAAACCAAGAATAAGAGACAGCCCATGTCATGTCAAGGGGCCTCCCTCCCATTTTTTTTCAAACCGTCTTTTACTGCCATCTGGTGGTCAAAAAAGGAACTACACACAAAACTAATTAACAAACGTTTATTTTTAAAATTGACAGTAATTGCTCATTATTGTCAAATTTCAAACAATATTATCGTTTATCTCAATAATTTCTGAGACAATTAATCACCCAGCAAAATTTGTTATCGTGACAGGCCTAGTGGTGGTGTTATAATTAAAACACAGTTTGCATGAAATGCCTTGAAATAGTTTGAGGCGTTTCAAGATGGCGGCAACCCGCTTGGTCCTGGCCTCACCCTGACGAGCTGTTAGCTTTGTCCAGAACAAATTAAACTCATTTAACGAGGGTAGAGAAACACTACAGGTTAGATGCCGTATTTGTTCATAGTTTTTCCGTTGGACTCCACTTCAAATGATCTGAAATACCTCTTTAATGATGCATGCACAAACGTGCAGGCTCCTTGAGTTGTGTGAATTAAAGCATCTCTTAGTGCTGTAGTAGGCTGGTCCTGGCTTTAAACTGTGCACTGGTTTTAAAAAAAAAAAGCGCACTGGTAGGCCTCGTCTGTAGCCTGGAGGATATTATCACCTGACGCCATGAAAGGCGGGCAATCATGTAAATGTCTGGTTGGATGTTTGTCCAAATGTTTTTAAAATATCTCATGAACCACTGAACAGAATTTAATCAAACTCGTAGAAAGCAATCGCTGACTGAACACGTACAACGGATTAACCTTTAGAGTCAGCCTGATTCAAGATGGCCGCTGTAACTCAGCTAATTCTACAGATAATGAACTAGAATTTGATGTGGTAGTAGCTGAGAGTGATCCACAACACATCCTCTGAGCACTGATAGATGGCAGGGCAACCTCTGACGTGCAAGCTGCTGGGTAATATGCTGGTTTTGTTCATCTTTAAAATGTTCGGCCCAAAGGAAATACTCTTTGAGCTTTGCTTCGGTTTCATTTTTGAGATTTGAAACGTTTGTTGTGGATCGCTCCACAGATCTGTGGCTTCGTTCAGCCATTTGCTGTCAAAGATCACATATATTTTCATTAAAGCGATCTACAATCATTTTTACATCCAGTCTTGTAAAGTTTTATAACCATGTGTCGTATCGTTAGAACTGTGTGACCCGTCACAATGAACTGTGGATTAAGTCCAAAAGTGGTACATTGGGAGTTACCGCGCACTGGTTGAAAAATATGTGACCCTCGCATTTTGTCAAAATATGATACGATCTTATCTATGAGTCCCTTGAAGAAAACGTCTGAACTATAATCCTAAAGAATGTTTTGAAGCACGTTTCTGAGCAGTGCCAACAACTGACGAGGATTTTAAGCAGAAAAGCCTTTTTTTCTTTTTTCCAGCTGGTAAATCCTAATCTCCAAATATGGTTTGAGATTTCATCTTTTGAATGACGCCAACAAATCCACTTTAGAATATCTTCAAAATAAGAGACTGATTTTCCAGGCATTATTCTGATCAACAAGACAAATGAAGCCAAATCTTTGGACCCGCTCATGATATCAGGAAGTGTCAAAATGTAGCTTAAAGCCAAGAATCTGGAAATCATTCATGTTGACTAAATATGACATATATGAAAATCAAATCCTTCCATGAATTACAATATAAAACCAAATCTAAGTGCCATTTCCCCTTAAAGTCATTTAAGATATAATGAAGTCCATTCTCGTTTAAGATAAAGTTTTTACAAAAACAAAAGGGGATGCACACGGCTGAGTCAAGGGGGCAGATGATCAGAGCTGAGGGAGTGTTTGTCCTTTCATGGCTGTCAAAGCACATTAAATCCCTGCTTTTGCCTCCATTCTGCATTATTCAGACATGGACCCTGCTCTGACATGTCAGATATTTTGGGATCTCTCCTGTTTGGGTCGTCAACCGTGTGCGTTCGCTGAATACAGCGGCTGAATTTGGGCTGATGGATCGCTGGCAGTAGTCTATCTGAAGCTTAACTGAACTTTACCTTTTTCAAGGCTGGTCAGTGCACGGTCAAATGGCTGCGTGCGGCTGGTGAAGGTATGGCAAGCCATGTTGCCATATAATTGGATCGTCAGCCGTGCGCATCCGCTGATGCAATCAAAAGCCCGACATAGACCCAGCTCACACATTAAGCACATTATCATGGCCCAACCTGGCCCTAATCCAGGTCGGACCGGGCCGTGCTCCGAGTTTGGGTTAGAAATGACAGCTCTAAAAAAAACCTTAACGAAAAATAAATATATACATTGAAACTTGTGTAATTGTTTTTACAAATACAAATGTTTTTTTTACACACACATAAATTCTTGTCTGCAGATGCACAAAGATGAAGTTCTCAAACATTTTGGTTTACAACAAGATACAAAATTTATTCACAACTTTATCTAAAACTCTGGCGTTAACGGCTGTGGGAAATATACATTTGTCAATTTTTTATCAAACTCGTGTGGAAGGCAGACCTATTACGGTAGTCTCTGTCCATCTGTATGTCCGTAAACTTTCTCTTTTTTGCATCACCACAGCTTCAAGGTCACAAATCAAGGTCAAAGGTTATACCAGGTCTTTGCTTGTCCCTGCAATAACTTCTGATCTGCTCAAGATACTTTAACAACTTGACACAGATTTGTGCCACCACTAGACAGCTTGTAACTTTATCTTTTCATAGCCCCAGCTTTAAGGTAAAGGTCACAAATCAAGGTCAAAAGTTATACCAGGTCTTTGCTTGTCTTGGCTATAACTTCTGCTCAAGATACTTGCAAGTTCTTGACACACATTTGTACCACCACTTGACAGCTCATCACATAATCATTTAATCACCCCAGCTTTAAGGTAAAGGTCACAAATCAAGGTCAAAAGGTATACCAGTTCTTTGCTTGTCTAAGCTATAACTTCTGATCCGTTCAACAACTTAATACACATTTGTTCCACCACTTTTCATCGCCCCAGCTTTGAGGTCAAGGTCATAAATCAAGGTCAAAGATTATACCTGGTATTTGCTTGTCTAAGCTATAACTTCTGATCCGTTCAACAACTTAATACACATTGGTTCCACCACTTTTCATCACCCCAGCTTTAAGATCAAGGTCATGAATCAAGGTCAAATATTATATCAGGTCTGTGCTTGTCTAATCTACAACTTCTAATACACTCAAGATTCTTTAACAACTTAAAACATATTTGTTCCACCACTTTTCATTCATCGCCCCAGCTTTAAGGTCAAGGTCATAAATCAAGGTCAACAATTATACCAAATATTTGTTTGTCTAATCTACAACTTCTGATACACTCAAGATACTTTAACAACTTAATACACGTTTGTTCCACCACTTTTCTTCGCCCCAGCTTTAAGGTCAAGGTCATATATCAAGGTTAAAGATTATACCAGGTCTTTGCTTGTCTAATCTACAATGTCTGATACACTCAAGATACTGTAACAACTTAACATATTTGTTCCACCACTTTTCTTCGCCCCAGCTTTAAGGTCAAGGTCATAAATCAAGGTCTAATATTATACCAGGCCTTTGCTTGTTTAATCTACAACTTCTGATACACTCAAGATACTGTAACAACTTAACATATTTGTTCCACCACTTTTCTTCGCCCCAGCTTTAAGGCCAAGGTCATAAATCAAGGTCAAAGATTATATCAGGTCTTTGCTCGTCTAATCTACAATGTCTGATACACTCAAGATACTTTAACAGCTTTATACACATTTGTTCCACCACTTTTCATCACCCCAGCTTTAAGGTCAAGGTCATAAATCAAGGTCAAAGGTTATACCAGGTCTTTGCTTGTCCGTTGCTGCATAATAGGTTGTCGATGGGCGTATAATGTGCCCTATGCTGTACTCTTGTTTGAAAGTAGTGTTGTACACCAGTTATGGATGGTTAGCACTAAGATATTTGTGTTTGGTTTCACAGTGAGTGAAGAGAGCTCCTACTCCTCTGACAACACGGAACCGGAGGACGACTGTCGGGGATGCCAGCTGCAGTGACACAAGGGTGTTTAAGGAGACGTTGTCCGCCTCTTCGCATTCTGAGCCTTCAGCAGGCCCCAGCATCGCCTCACGTAACTTTAACCTCATCCACGTAACCTTCTGACGAGCTTCAGGGAAGAACTAACCGTTAGGAGCAACAGTCCTAAAATAAGTAGCTCTTTGTTCAAAACACAGACCATACCCACTGTTCACCCAGTCTTAACTAGCAGTAGACTCACAACCATGTCCAGATTTCACTGTAGACAAACCCTTCAAACCAAAGAGGGGGAGAAATGTTCTGCTACGAGAAGCTAGAAGTCCCACTGTTAACGAGACGTGTTCAGCCTGCTCTGGTACACTCAGCAACATGCTGCAGCAAATCTGTCCTGAAAACAACCATTTCTCTGTGTATGTCGTACGGTCATCTTCAGCTGCCTCTTCTGCTCATTGCTGTTCATTCTGAGTCACTAGTTGAAGTAAAAGCCGAAACTAAAAAAAAAACAAGGTAGTGGGAAAGGAACGATAAAAGAACGTGCGCTTCAACCCTCAGAGCAGAAACGTGTACAAAGCTTTCAGTTTGTGTGCCCCGCTAATATAAAAGCAGCCCCGGCTCATTCATCGTTCTTTTTTCCGGATATTAAAATGTCCTTCATTAAACATTAAATAGACTGCTCAGGGTTGAACTGATCCCCTCGGGGGGGCGGAGGGGATTCTGGCACCTTTACGAGAACTCTGATTGATTCCCTTTGATTAAATGCAGACGGGATTCGTGGATTAAATCAAATTGGAGTCTCTCTCTGTGACCGTTTGTCTTTAGGTTGAGGGAAATTCTCCGAATTAATTTCTTTACGTTCTTTTGTTCTAAAACAAAAGCGGTAGATATTTTCTAACACCACAGCTCAAGCCTTTATCCTCGAGAAGAGCGAAAGGGATTAAAAGAAGGCTGCCCGGAGAGGGTGCAGAGTCAGATCCCCGCGGAGCAGCTCGGGTCGGTCATGCATCCAGCACAAATATCGACAAGGTAGATCCATTTAACGTGCCTCAGCATCAAAGCGTGACTCAAAGCCCTGCCGCAGCGGAGTTGTGTCTTCAGCGCTACATCGAGCTTTCTCATGCTACAGAAACTAAATAACCTCATGAACCATTCAAGCTCACGTTGGGCTTTTACTACCTGCGTACCCTTTTTTACATCGGCGAGCATCTGTGGTGATGTTTACAGAAAAACAAAAGAATACGTTGATGTATGTTCTGCTGTCAGAGGCATGTTGAAACACCGCATGCAAACAAACGAGTGCCTATAGAGTTGAAGGCAAGCTCACGTTCTATTCCTCTGACTCTGAATTTCTTGTTACGTCTAAAAAAAAAAAGAAAAAATCAATTAATAAAAGGAGGAAATTCACAGAACGGAACAGCTAAATCATTTGGGACAGATACCACTGCCAGGCTGCAAAGATACATTTTCTCTTCGTGATGAAATAAAAAAAAAGAAAAAACTCATGTCGCAGCTCCTTCTACGTTTTCCTGACTCAGTGCTTCTTCTAGTGACGTAAGCTTCTGCAGTTCTTAGTGTGCCAAGCATGACTTCAGAATTTATTACCAAGACGTTTCATTTGGAGCCCTAGAGTCTCGCTCCAGTTGTGAATATGTTGTATACGCCGTGTAGAATTAGTGTATATAATGTTCTATTGTAAGCTCTTAGCTCATTTTTGCACTGTGTATATTCTGCCACTGTACTTTAGCCAAAGTGATGTTACCGACCGTGTGGTACATTCTGTTTGGTGATCTGTACTTTGATCATTCAATAAAAGACACAAACACTTATGTGTCAGATACTTTTAATTTTGTTGGCAGTGCTGCAGCTGCTGCCTGAAACTAAAATAAAACATATTGACTTTCTTTTTTAAAGCCTAATAGTTAATGGACTGTACTTGCATAGCACCTTTCTATCTGATCAAGACACTCAAAGCACTTTACTCTACAATCTGTGCCTCATTTACCCATTCAAACAGCACTCTACTAGAACTTTAAGTTAATTGAACAAATCATTGTAAAGAGACTAATCAGAGCTTTATCACATTCAGACACTGATGGGACACACATCGGAGACAATGAGGGGTTCAGTGTCTTGCCCAGGGACACTTGGGCATGTGACTGCTGGTGGATTTGAACTCCCATCTTTTGCACTGGAGGACGACTGCTCAAACTACTCAGCCATAGCCGCCCTAATAGTAACGTGAAGCTTACAGAGCCTTGAGAAAGAATCCATGCTGAAGAGCAAGGACCGCACCATACAGTGGTTGTAATGTGACGAAATGTGGAAAAATGTCTTAACTTTCTGAGAACTGTTGAAAGTCCACCTCCATCTTCTGTCGCTTATCCCTGGTCGGGTTGTGGACACAACAGGTCCAGGAGAGAAGTCCAGACATCCCTCTCCCCATCGACACTTTCCAGCTCATCCTGGGGGACCCCGAGGTGTTCCCAGACCAGAGAAGATGCACAGTCCCTCCAGTGAGTTTCTAAGCCTCCTATCGTTGTGACTTAAACGAAACACCTTTTAAAAAGGGGGTGTCCAAATCAGACATCCGAACCACCTTAACTGACGCCTTTCGATTCGCAGTGAATCTACTCCCAGGTCTCCCCAGATGATGGAGCTCCTCACCCCGTCTCTAAGCCCAACCACCCCGCAAAGGAAGCTCATTTCAGCCGTTCGTATCCCAGAGCTCATTCTTTCAGTCATGATCCAAACAGGTGAGGGTTGAAACGAAGACAGACCAGTCAACCGAGAGCTTTGCTTCTCGACGCAACTTTTTCTTCACCGCAGTTGATCAAAGCAACGCCCTCGTTAGGATGAGGTTAGTTGATCCATCTCCCGCTCCATTCTACCACTCGTTCAACCTTTATTTCTACAGGTTAGTCTCATCGAGCCACGAGGACTCATTACCAAGAGAGACCCGTTTCAGACAAAGAGCACAGATGAAGTAGAGACAACAACAGACTACATCGCCATCACTCATGAGCAACACGTCCAGGTGCTTAAACTCCTCCACCTGAGGCAAAGCCCCGACCGTGAGGGGGCATTCTTCTCGCTCCTGTTGAAACTTTAAACGTTTTCTTCTGGGAGCTGTAGAGCTCCAAGTAGGGCTGGCTTTTCCTACTTGTTGCACAAATATTTATGTACATGGAAATGTTTTTGCAACATTTTGCCGAGGTGATACAGTAGCATTGCTACCACAACGCAGAGCACGTTATTCTTGATTAGGCTGCACATATCTATTATTCTACACCTCGGAAGTGAGTCTACATTTCTGTCTCCGTTAATGCGGCCCGAACCACAGCGTCTACCCCCACAAAAGTTGTATCAAAACAACTGGCTCGGCCCCGTGATATGTTCTATTACTTTTATTGGCATTTTGAGTTATCGTGGCGACGTAATTTGTGAACAAAGACGCAATATTTCACCAACTCCAGGAACTAGTTGGTGACTGCCCACTTATTATTCTACACCTGAAAAGTGTATCTATTTCAACTTTAATGCGGCCCGAACCGCAACGTGGACCCCCACAAAAGTTATATCCAAACAACCGGCCCGGCTCCGGGAAGTGTGCAATTACTTTTATTGGCATTCGCAGTTACCATGGCGACATATTTTGTTAGCAAAGATGCCAAATTTACCATAGAAAATGAATAGGAGAAAACTCTTCACGGAAACCGATTAACGTATGGAGCCATTTTGGTTCAACATGCAAGGAAGGCAGTGCATTATGCACTGCATGGAAGGCACATATTATTACCTATTATCACATATTATTAATGATAAATTATTAATGTTAATAATTATCTTTTTAATATCAATAATTATTAATACGTTGTATTTAAAATTAATACTAATTATTGGTGTGAATACTATTAAAATTGGTTATTTATTAATAGTTTAATAATTCATAAATTAACAATATATAAATATTTACCTATATTAATAATTAGTATTTATTATTAATCTTAATAATCATTCATATTAAAATTTAGTATTATTAATAGTTTAATTTTAAATAGGCAGTCCCCATCAAAGTTTCTCCAGGAACTTTCTTGTTTTGCATATATTCTTTTTTCCAAAGCTGCAGGGAGTAATGATGGAAATTGAAGAAGAAAAAAAAAATACCAGCAGAAAGTGCTTTAATGCTGGCAGCTCTAAACATTTGAATGTACCATGTGGAGTCAAATGGTGCCACTGGATAGCAGCGAGCCAATTAGATCAGTTACTAAGGTTAAATTAAGTGCTTTTCTTTTTAGGAATACAAGTAGAAAAATGCAGTGACATTATTTTCACCTTTATGAATCGGATACCTCGTATTACCTTTTACAATGAGGCCACAGCCGTACAGCCAAGAGGTATTTTTTTTACCCTGGGGGAAACGATTTGCATATTTCCTCTGCACCATTTTAGTCTTGGCTTCCCTCCACTCAAGTATAGATCACCTCTGAGCTTCCTGGACAGAAGCCCAGGCCAATTACAGCGTGCCCACCGAGGCTCGGGTTGTAAGATGAATGTAAGCATTTCTGTGGGTAACGCTGCTCTGATGGTCAGCAACAACGTTCCCCGCCCCCTGTACTTTTAAGTAACAATGCAGGTACAATCCAGAATGAATGATTCCGTGCCACCTTTATACTCAGTGCTTGCCTTTTTCATGTTTAAACATTACTAAAGCCAGGTTCAACCAGCTGACACCGAGGGTGCTTTTTCCTACGAAATCTTGATGCTGGTACCGGGAGTTGAACTAGCCATATTCCGATCACAGGCCCACCTTCAACAGTTCTCGATTTTAAATATTTTGACTCAATACATATAATTTACATGTAAGGACTTCACTACATCAAAGGGCATTCATAAGCATGTGCCCAGTAAGACGGTATTTATTCAGTTGACCGTTAAACAGCAACAATAAACCACAAATTCATAGAATTTAAAGTCTTTATTAAAATAACTTTCACAGGTTACACACCAAACTTTAAAAACATTTAAGGTTATATACTCTGAATGTAAAATACTCATTGATGCAACTATTAATACACAACGATCCTGTTTAATACCAGTGTTGAAGACGTGTGGAATCACTGTAGGTCCATAACATGCTGTATGAACAGAAAACACGCTACACACACGTAAAATCTGCTGAACACAAACTTCTCGATACACGCGATCAGCTTTATTGCTAGGTGATCTCTAGGGGTCAGCACTGAGACCTTTAGTGAGCCTAGTCTGGCGGACCTCCTCCATCAGCTCTTTGAGATACTCGATCTCCCTGGCCATGGACTCGGCCTTCTCGTTCAGCTCCACGTTCTTCCTCTCCAGCCGTGCGTGCTCGGCAAGGAGCGTATCCTGTTCGACTCTCTTCTTCTGCCTGTAACGCGTGGCAGCCGTTTTGTTCTGCTCCATCTTCTTTTGCTTCTTGTCTCTGGGTGCTTTTAAAGCTGCCCGCCCAGCTGCACCTGCAGCTCCATGGGGCCGGACTTCATCGACGACGGCAGCGGGAGAGAATGGACCAGATTTCTGTTTCGGCTCGGGGTACGGTCTGCTTCTGGGGGTTTTTTGTGGAGGGCAGGTTGGCGGTGCACACTGAACCACCCCAGGTGTGGTGGCGACGGCGTTTTTGGGAGCCAGCACGAGGACGATACGGGTTGGAGAGAGGGTGAGCACGATCCTGGGGACCTGAGGGACCACAGACTTCACCTCACTTGCAGAAATATCCACCTCACTTCCTAGATCCAGAGTGAAGGCTGGGGAGGAGGGAGAATCAACCACTGCAGGACAGGGTTCAGGAGAAGCAGGCTCTGATTTGATTTCAAGCTCCTCCTGTACGTCTGGGACACAGAGCGGAGAGGAGGGAACTTCTTGCCCATGAACATGACATGCAGGCTCATCTACTGTAACAGAGGGAACAGATGGAGGGGGTGCATTAGGAAAGGAAGCAGAGGAAGGAGTGGGGAGAGCTGGCAGCTGGAAGGACTCCAGCTCCATGGAACAATCTAGGGAATTAAGGAGGTCTTCTGGAGAGCTGGGAGCCTCTTCAGCAGGACTGCAGGTGCCAATCAGAGAGTCCAGGTCCAAGTCACTCAGATCCACCTTCTCACCCATCCAGTCAAAGTCACCAAGCACATCCTCTGAAGACAGATAAAAAACAAGACTATAAATACTTTACCCAATAAAGTCTGCAAAAATTGTCCTTTATGAAAACTAACTGCAACTGTTGCCGTCACCTGATGGTGTCTGGCTGCACCTCAGCAGACCAGGGTGATCCAACCAAGAAAGGGGGAGCAGGTCAGACTCAGTCCTCGCTTTGTCCCCATGGAGAACAGATGGCGGCGAGGGAGGAGGAGAGTAGAAAGGAGGAGGAGACGAGGACAACGACGGCGATAAGGATGCGAGGGGCGACGCAGGGAAAGCGTGCCCCCGCGGTGAGCGGTCGCCCCCTTCCCGCTGTACATCGTCATCAGGGTGAATAGACGGGGAGTCCATGACGTCAGCCGTGGGAGAGGAAGGCCAGAAAAGGGCCTCCATGTCTTCCAGGCCAAACTGTGAGCTTGTCATCGTCGTGGTCATAGTGGCTGTTGTTGGTCACAAATGGGGCGTGCGACAACTCTTGGGTGGTTGTGAACTCGTTTATGCTGTCGAATGCAGCAGTGCTGAAGGTCTTTATGTAGGACCTGAAACAAGGAAGAGAATGTAGGTGAAAATCAAGCATAAAGACTTTAGATGTACACAGGTGTTCCATTTGTAAACAAAGGTGAGCTAAATTCTCTTTGGGGCGACACTGCCCCCTGGTGGCTGGACCACACCATGCTCTGATCACGGGTTTCCTCCCAGATCTTGTGACTATGACGTCAACACTTAAAATGAGGTCATTCTTCACGTCCAGGCGGCTGTTTGTTCTCCTTCCACCCATAAAGCCGCCATTTTGACACAAAGGAACATTTCCTGCCACGTTGGCACTCGACAGCCACTCGGACATCCAATTAATCAGGCTCAACAAAGAAAACTACTCGTTTAATAAAAACGTGGCCAAACAATCGAGCCTGGAATTCTTAAAACGACAAAAACATCGTTTCATTTTATATTAAATCATTAATATGTAAATGCTTTTTGAGACTATTTTTACTCTAATTTATTTAAAACATCTTCGCTAAAGCTACTGAAACTGTTTAACATATTAAGTTTTAATTACATAGCTATAGACTCGACGGGCTGGCCTGTAGGCCGGCACAGCCTGCCGGTGAGTAAAAATATAAAAATACAACTTACGACATTTTGCTGATGTAGAAGTGACTCAGTGCACTGGCTGGATGCACTGTTTTGTTGGCTGCTGCTAGGTCGCTGCACACGTTTACACTGCCATTTCGGCAAAAGACAGCGATGTCCGACTACGATGTTTTTTGTTGTTGTTCCTCTGAGGAGAAAATGGCGGAAGAGAAGGTGAGGCGGTGATAAAGAACCAGAGTGTAGAAGGGGAGGTGGTATCCTTCCGCTGTTCCTGCAATATCCCTACGCCTTTCATTAAACCTCACTGGGTGTAGTGGGACTAGATGACTGGCCTACTTTATTGATCTTGACCTCTTTTGACGTAGGAAGTATTAAAACCCATTTTTTGTCTCAAAATGACTATTACACGATAGGTCAAGTTTAACTTAAATATAATATATAATTAATTATAATGTATAATAAATATAAACTAGTTTTCAATGAGACCAGTTCATGTTTCATATCAGGAAGCTGCACGTGATACTGTCTGGGTGTTTAATTAAAGATCAGTGTTTTGTCAGATATTTTGCTAACAAACACTTGAACACTAACGTGCACAGTGGGCGATAATGAAGTTACGGTGTATGTGTCTTTGTCAGCCTGTTAACAAAATATCTTTTGAATAAAACTCTCTAGAAGTAATAATTGGATTTACATATACCTGTAAAACTGATTACCACTGAGCGTCAACCCAAGTTGAGATGGCCGGCACAATTAATTGACCTTAACAAACATAAAAAATGACTGTAACTTAACATTTTCCAAGCAAACTAAAATTTGGCGTTGAAGTAGCTGAAAGTAATTCCTATAGCAGATCACAGCACTTCACTGGCAAGTAAAGAGGCAGGTGATGAGCCTTTGTTCAAATTCCTTATGTTTTAGTTGGTGTTCCTGAAACGTTTCGGTATATTCAATAAAGCTGATTCTGTGTTCATTTTAACTGACTGGTGAATGTGAAAGGTAATAAAATGAAATTCTTTAAAAAAAATCCCATTTTAACTTTTGATCACATTCTCACTCACACATACAGCTGCAAACTTAAACATGCAGAGTTCTATGTTCAGTTGTTAACCTTTCATACATTTTTATCTGATTATCTACTTCCTTCTGCAGCTTTTCAGTCAGTTAATCCAGTCAGTCTTGTGTGTCCCCTAACTTTTGTCCCCCATCGTGGAGCAAAATGGGAAAATTTTAAATACCTTCTGTCCATCCACCCATGCATGATGTGAGCACAACTTAAAAAATAAGTGAGGTACCGACTTCCATTTTAGTGTGTGACTGCATCTAAATGTAAGAAAGTTTCCTCTGGAAAATTGAGTTGCCATGTCAAAATCCAAGATGGCTGCCTCCACTTCTATATATGTAAATCAACAACCCCTATCATTTGAGGAAACTGCTTTCTAGTTTTTACATTGTTTTTTTAGTTTCCCCAAATGAGTGGGGTGGCTGACGATTAATCTACAGAGGCCAAGGCCACCACCGGCCACCCCGTCTCTTGGATGGTTGTGGATAAATGTGCTCCGTCCACTCGCCAGGATCCGTCACCCTGTGCTGACAAGATAAAAAATAAAAACGTCCTCGCTTCTCACTGTAACTCCTACCTACTTGAATATCTTGCATCAAAAACATTAAGGTTTACTTGCATTCCCTGATCCTGTTAGACCTCAGTGCTGCATGTGATACAGTTGATCCTAATATCCTATTGCAGAGACTTGAATATGATATTGGAATTACAGGAGCAGCTCTAAATTGGTTTAAATTATATCCATCTGATAGATTCCAATTTGTAAATGTAAATAATGAATATTCATCATACACCAAAGTTAGTCATGGAGTTCCTCAGGGGTCAGTGTTTGGACAAATATTGTATATGCTTCCATTAGATAAAGTTATTAAACAGCATGGAATAAATTTTCATTGTTATGCTGATGATACACAATTATATTTGTCCATGAAACCCAATGAATCCAATCAGCTACTTAGACTACAAGCATGTCTTAAAGACATAAAAACTTGGATGACCCTTGATTTTCTCCTTGTGAACACAGACAAGACTGAGGTTTTGGTTTTTGGACCTGAGCACCTTAGGAATAAATTTTTCAGTTTTTCTCCCTCCTTAGATGCATTAATCTGTCCTCCAGCTCTAATGTTAAAAATCTTGGTGTTATTTTTGATCAGGACATGTCTTTTATCCCCCACATTAAAAACGTTACTAGAACCTCCTTCTTCCACCTGCGTAATATCTTTAAAATTTGAAACATCTTATCTAAAAATGATGGAGAAAAACTGGTCCATGCATTTGTCATGTCTAGACTGGACTATTGTAATGGTTTATTATCTGGGTGTCCAAATGCGTGTTTAAAACGTCTTCAGTTGATCCAAAATGCTGCTGCCAGTCTTAACTGGAGTTAGCGGGAGAGATCATATCTCTCCAGTTTTAGCTTCTCTCCATTGGCTCCCTGTCAAATCCAGAATAGAATTCAAAATCTTACTTCTAACCTACAAAGCTCTCAACAACCTAGCTCCATCTTATATTTGAGATCTCATTGTTACATATTTTCCTAACAGAGCACTTCGCTCTCAGACTGCAGGTTTACTTGCGGTTCTTAGAGTTTCCAAAAGCAGAATGGGAGTTAGATCTTTCAGTTATCAGGCTCCTCTCTTGTGGAACCAACTTCCAGTTTCTGTTCATGAGGCTGACACATTGTCCAGTTTTAAGACTGGGGTTAAGATTTTTGTTTTTGATAAATCCTATAGTTAGGGTCAGCTTGTTATGCTGCTGTATAGGCCTAGACTACTGGAGAACAAACTGACCTAATTTCCTTAAAAGAATTGTTAAAATCGAATAGTTTTCATTTGATACTATTTCTATCGTAACATGTGATTCTTGACCTGCCATTGTGTATCTGTTCCTCCTTCCTGTTCCTCTCAGACCCAGCCGGTTGAAGCAGATGGACGCTTGTTCTAAAGGTTTCTTCCTCATGAGGGAGTTTTTCCTTTCCACTGTCACCTTCATTCTTGCTCAAGATGAGACTCTGTGATGAAGTTCAATTCAAAGCAGTCTGCTCCTCAGATGAATAATGTTATTAACTGTTTATGCATATGAATGTTTCTTTTCAGTGCCGTGAGATAACTTATGTTGTGACTTGGTGCTAAATAAATGTAATTGAATTGAATAAAAAACCCACTCATCTGGAAATCTACAAACATTCACTATTTCAATCCCACAGTGACAGGAGATTGTTTCTCTGATGGATCATCCTTAGACACAAAACATCTTACTGTACTGTTTGTCACTCAGAAAACTCAGATTTAGCCTTTTAATACACAAAACTCAAAATACATGTTATAAAGACTTAAATTATATTTAGAAAAAATGAACATCTGTGAACTTTGCTTTGTTGCATTTGTTTATGTATAAACTGAAGGAAATACAAAAGTTGTAACAGACAAAAAATATTTAGGCCCTATTTTCTCGTGTTTTCTTTTAGGTTTGTCCTGTAGTAATTTATTAACCAGAATCTTTCAAATAAATTAGAAAAATTACACCAGAACAAAAGTTGGACTGCACATGAAGCTTTTCAGGTAAACTAATACTTCACCGTGACGTTTTGACTTTAAGGAAACTGTTTCTGCAACTTGTCTAAAAATTAACAGCTAAAACATTTTTCTCATTCTAATTTACTTATTTTTATGTTGTTATTAATATTTATTATCCTCATCCGTCGTTCTTTTTTGCTCTTGATCACATGACAAGTAAGCGTTGTGTGTACAGTGAACAGAGGAAAATGTGGGCAGGTTTTAAATTTTGTAATTCCCCTAAAAAGACAAGGATACAACACGGTGATAACCCAGCAGCATGCCTCCTTAATCTAAACATTTATCTCTTTATTATAAAGTCACATTCCTTGAAGAGATGCTAATTTCTTGACCCTTTGCATGCCAAACTTTTAAACAGTCTGCATGATCAGTAATTAAAACCAGCGGTCCAAGCTTCAGCTGTCAGACTGATGGTCTCACTCTGCACTCCTTTACAGGAGTTCATGGTCGACTCAGTGACATGAAGGGTGTCCAGGTCCTATGGCTGCAAAACAAGCCCAAACCATCACACCTCCACCACCGTGCTCGACAGCTGGTATGAGGTATTTGAGCCGATATGTTGCGTTTGATTGCCTCCAAATATTTTGCTGAGCATTTTTTTTTAAATCTCCATTTCAGTCTCATCTGTCCATAGGACATTGTTTCAGAAGTCTTGTGATACATTCAAATGCAACTTTCTAAATTAGGAATTATTAGTATTTTAACCTGCCAACTGAGGCCCATAGAGTCGGAGATGGAGCTCTTTGTTGTTGTTTTGTTTTTTTGTTAGTTTTTCTGAGCCCTTCAATCTGATCTTGAGGTGAATTTCTTCAAACACCCTGTTGTGAAGATCTGAAGCTGTTTTAAACAGTTTCCACTTGTGAATTTCCCTGTATGTAGAATGACGGACACTAAAAATTGTGGAAAGGACCTTTAGCCATTCCCTAAATGATGGCCAGCATCAGCAGCTTCTCTAAAGTCATTGCTGATGTCTTTCCTTTTTGGCATTGGATTAACACACACCTCTATGCTTCAGAGCAGCAAACTACCAAAGTGCCTGCTTGGTGATCTCTCTGATGATGATCAGTTCATCAATACACCTGATCAGCAGCTCCTGGCTGATACTTGATTTCTTTAATCCTATGGAAGCAGCAGGGCTGTACTTTTTACTTGCAGATGTTTTAATTTGGCTTCATTTTGTTTAGTATCGGTTGTCATGTTCTGCCTCTCTGTCACTCTGCCACGCCCACTCTTCACCTGCAGCTCATCAGTTGATTCACTGCACCTGTTCTGGTCCAGATTGAAGGACTCCTCTCACCACTTTAGTCTGCCAGATTATTGAACCCCTCACAGACATAGATGTCCAGTGTTCTGTTCACATTCTTGTCTGATCTTCTTGTCTTGTCCTCACACCTGCCTTTTGGAAACCCTGATCTGCCTGCTCTTATTTTGCCTCTCTGATCTCATTACAGCCTACTCTTTCTGACAAGGGCGTCAGAGGCATCCATAATGTGTGGGGGGGGGGGGACACAATGATGGGTGTGTGTGTGTGCGCGCGCGAGTGTGTGTGCACGCATGCGCATAAA